AAAATATATTTAAAAAAAAAGATGACTATTGCCAAAATTAATGCCTAAGAAGTAGAATATAGGACAGTGTTATTAGGTATCAAGTCAATATTGCCTTTTTTAATTTTAATTGGTGGAATGAGAAAAGAATAATTATTCTTTAGATGGGGGTCTGCTCCTCTAAACTGACCTAATTTTTTCTAGATTCAGTCTCTCCTCAAATTCTGCTACATCGTTTCCCAATCAACTCCACACACTTTTTGGTTTGTTTTTACCCAGAAAGGTTCTCATAACAACAGGGGCTCTGGCAACACAGACAAAGAAGTGGATGTGGAGAGGGATACAATTTGGGCTTATGGGTATTATTAATGAGCGGTAAGCACATCTGTCATGTGAATATTGGTTAAAAAAGCAACCCTACCTTGTTACTGCTGCATAAAAGCCTGACCCAGACTTAAAAACATTCCACTTACTATTATTCCTACTTACAAAGCAAAGCTAGATATGGGTAGGACTTGAAATGTGTCAGGATATAGGCAAAAAAAAATAGTTGTCCAAACCTTTATAAATATGTGACGAAACTGATCACCCTGGAGAAGCCTCCCATCTCTAAGGGACTTGACGGGGGTCACAGGGGTCCACACACAGTCACGTAGACCATCGGAAAGAACTGTCACAAGGACCCCAGTAGAAAGCAAGCTCGAGCTTTGGGACATTAAATGTCACATTCATAGGGAACCAGTGCTGAGGATAGAATCGACGTTCTGACTCGCACCGTGGCCTTCACTGCAGCTTTCCCGGGCCACCTCCAGAATACTCCGCTTTTAGTCACCCCATCGCTGGCACCAGGAAGCACAGATGTGCACAAAAGCACTTTTTAAATTGCCAGCATTTGGATTTGTTTTTGTTTTTGTTTATTTGACTTTCCAACGTGAGTAGATGAGTAGTTCTCATTTCCAACCTGGTAATATAAAGCACTTCGTCGCCTCTGGGTGAGCCAATTCTGAAATTGGGCTGAGTCTTGCTACCAGCAATGCAGCTGGGATGAACTTAGAATTTCAGAGCCACACTGCCCCTCACTCACTATGTGACGACTTCATGCAAATTACCCAACTTTCCTCAAACACAATTTCTGATCTACAGAATGAGGATAATAATTCCAACCTGATAAAGTTGTTGTTGTGATCTCTTAGTAATGTTATCTCTCATGTAGATTATTCTAACAGCTTCATGTCCGGTCTCTGATGTCCACCCTTGACCACCTTTCATCTGTTATCAACGAGCAGCTAGAGTGGCCCTGTAAAAACATAGGTTCTGTCACTCCTCTCCTTAATGCCCCCTCCCCAATGCCTTCTCATTCCTTTCAGAGTAGAAACTAATGTTATTCATTGACTGACATGATCCCTCACATCCTTCTTACCTTCCTGTCCTTACCTGCCACCACTCTTGTCCTGGGTCATTCTGCTCCAGCAACTCTGGACACCTCACTATTCTTCAAACACATCAGAAACACTCCTGCTTCAGGGCCTCCGCGCTTGCTGTTCCCTCAGCTTGGAGATTCTTGCCTTGTAAGTATCCAAACAAATTGCTTCCTCACCTCCCTTTAGGTCTTTATTCAAAAGTTATCTTCTCAGCCAGGTTTTCTCTGGCTGCTCTATCTAAGCTTAGAAGCCACTCTCTTCATATTTCCTCTTGGTGCTTTATTTTTCTCCTTATCATCAACTAACATATCCTATATTCACTTATTTGTGTTTTATTGTCTGTCTCTCCCACTAGAACATAAGCTCAATGTTAGCATTTTGTTCACTCATTAACTATATGACTTTGTGGGGGGAAACTCAAATTCTCTGAACTAGACTTTAATCATCTATGCCCAGGAGAGTCCTACAGCAGTGCCTGGCACATAGTGGGAGCTTAATAAATGGTTGTTGAAATGATGACTGAATCTGAAAAATTAGGATCATTGAAGCATGGAAAAGAAGAAGGGGAAGGAGGAAAAGGAAAAAGGAAGGTGTGGGGAAAGGAGAAAAAAAGAATCATGACAGAGATGCTCAGATTATAGTGATATGGAAAAAGAGGACCAGGCAGCAAGAGAAACGGAGGGGAAGTCATGTATCATAACTGCAAAGCCCAGGAAAGAAGCAAAAGGAAGCACAGGAAGGAAGGGCTATTCTTCACTGTTCACAGTATTCACGCGATTCAGCTACAGTCTTTTTTTAAAGTATGTTTTTATTGATTCAAGAGAGAGAGAAACATTGATGAGCGAGAAACATTGATGAGCTGCCTCCTGCACCCCTGCCCCCTTACTGGGGATGAAGCCCGAAACCCTGGCATGTGCCCTGACCAGGAATCAAAATGGTAACCTCTCAGTGCATGGGACGATTTTCCAACCAACTGAGTCATACTGGCCAGGGTGCAGCTGCAGTTTTAGCATGACCTGGGGCAGTCCTAACCCCAGAACTGTGGGAATCATCCTCTCTTCTATGAACCACAAGTTGAGCCATTCCCTCAAAGTAGTCGTGGACTTGTGAGAGGCCATTAACCAATAGATCTGTTACCTGCAAACAGCACCAGGTATTAGACCTTGGTCACCTCCTGTACTTGGCCTATCGTTCCTACTCTGCTCGTGTCTGTCTAACTGCCTACTAGATCAGAAATCTCATATCTTCATCACCTTCTATTCTCTTAGAAAACAGATTGGAATGTCTATGTAATGCCAGGAACTTAAGAGTCCCACTCGGGTCATGATCACAAGCTGGAATGTGAACCCCCTCAAAGCACACAAACTCCTACACAGGCAAGCAAACCTCCTGCTACACAGTCATGGAGTCCCAATCTTCCTACAATACAAGGACCAGGGAATTCTACTCTTCTTACTCAGATCCCAATCCATGGACTCCTGTGGAGCCAGAGGAATTTCCAGCATCCATGGTAGGATGCTCTCTGGGGCCTCGGGAGGAAACTCTTCCCTGGTGGTTCACCCTCCATTATGATGCTCACCTTTCCCTCTAGTTCTAGGAAGCCTCTTCTCCCCTCTGGCACCCCAGCCTTGGAAGGGCTATTTTGAGAGTCAGGTACCTTTTGCACTGAGATGCCTTTAAAAGTCTGAGGAAAACGGCATTCGCTTCGCAACCTTCTTGGGGGGTTTATTTAGCTAGATAGAGCCTCTTCATCCCGAGGATTTAAAGCATGATGGGAACTTCAACTCAGGCATCAAAACAGCTCTCCAGAGCTCCCAGCCAGCTGTATTTGCATAACAATTTAACAGATCCAAACAACAGGCCAAGGTCAGGTGAAATAAATTGCCAAGGTCATGCTTCTCTTGAATTGGTGATGAAATTCAGAATTGCTGATTCCCGGGGCTTGGCCCCTACTCTCGGAACTGATATTGTGGCATAAATTAAATGAATCGTATGTGTGAGAACCACGCACCTCCTCTTAAACTTCTCCCTTCTAATTCCAGATCATGTAGATCATGGAGGAAAAGATGATGTCATAACCCACTGACCTCACGTATTAGCATACAAATGAAAGAACTTACTAGAAGTGGTGCTCTGGGGGACTCCTGGTCTAAACCAGGAAATGCTGTTGACTGTATTTGAAACTCTAAAAGTATGTTGAATCTCTTTAATTTCTCAATCAAATGATTGCTTTAAATTCACTGCTTTAATTCTGAGAATCTAAAAACATAGGGATCCTTAAAAACCGCAGAGGCCCACATGCCAGAGAGAAGGAATTGAGGGGATTAAATGTGTAAACGATTCTTGCTTTAATATCCTTAACTCAAAATACCTGTAAACCAACACAGGGAAGAGAAGCTCATTAAAGTCCCAGCCTCTCGGAGCTTATCCCAGTGAACAACTGGCTTTCAGATTCCTCGGGCGCAACTCCAAATTCGGAATTCTCCCCGGCTGGGAGCCCACGCCCTCCGAGGTCGCAGGGAAGGTGGCAAACCGTGGACTCCTGGCCTGGGAGGGGAGGGGCCTTGCCAGGCGCGCAGGAAGCGTCTACCGGGAACCTCACCACCAGTGGGCGTTTAGCGCAGCCAAGCGACCGGCTGGTGCCAAAGCTCAGCAACAGGGAGGCGCCGGCTGAGGCGGGGAGAACTTTGCGCTCCGAGCAGAACCACCCTTTGCTGGCCAGTCGCGTCGCTCCTCGGAGGAAGCAAGCGGCGGCAGCGACTGGGCGGAAAGAGGACGAAAGGAAGAGAGGAAGTAGCGAGGGGAGTAGAAAAATGAAGCCAGAGCTGGGGAAGCCCGCGAGGGGATGGCCCACGGCGGAGCGAGGCGGATTTGGCTTCTTTTCCGCATCCCGGCGGTGAGCACCCGCTCCTGCACGACCCCAAAGAAATCCGTGCGTCTCGCCTTGGTGGGAAAGGAAGAGAATCCAAGTGAGCTCGTTACCTGCTCGGTCACCGCTGCCCCCTAGGACTCCGGGTGCTTCTCACCCCAGCCTCCCCGCGGGGCCGGACTCAGAGCCGCCCTGCAGATGGGGCGGGTAAGGAACGGGCGCCCCAGCTGCGGGTG